CCAAAAGATGTGTTCTCTGATGATCCCCGAATCACCCATGCTCCTCTCAGTAGTGATGGACCTCCAACAAAGTTTCTTGCTCAACATACGATCACATCTAATGCTAAAGTCAGACTACCGGCAGCTTACAAGAAATTGTCGCGCCTAAGCTACAGTTTTGAGATGACATAAACAGCGAAATTGTGATACGGCGCCCAAGAAACGCTACGGGATCACTTTTAAGCAGCAAAGTAATGCTGAGTAATCTGCTGCCTATCAGTGCTGAACTCGTCGACCGAAGAGAGACCAACCGACTTCGTCTCCTCTATGCGTGGTCACCAGTTCGACCGTTGCCATGGAGCTAGCTACATTTGGCACATGGTGAGGTAAGTTTATCATCGAACTGATGAAAACGGTCACGGTTAAGTAGAGGTCAGCCAAGACTGATGCGAGGCTCGATACTCTGTCGATTGGTTGATGCTGGTCACCGAATTAATGTTCATACTGCCTTTAAGGTCACGCATTGAATTCTACTGGTCTCAGCCATGCTCTACGAGCACGTCTTTCACATAAAGTGGGACCCACCGGGATCCGCCTGAAAGTGCGGAGCCTGAGTGTTTAGAAGAAACTCCTATGTCCAGTTTCTTCGCCTTTGTCATCTGTATAACTTACCAATGCAAGCCTGAACCCCCCCGGTTCTACACAGTTTTTACCACTGATATAATCACATATTGAGGCACCTTACCCCCACCCTATGGTCTCTGATTGCAGTCAGCAGCTGGCGTAATCACCCAATTTTCCTCTCGTCAATCGCCATTTTATGAGCCATCAGTGATGTAGTGACTTAGTTATAATCTTGCGCCTTGTACTGTGCGAACAGTCTATGCCTTAACCACTGTCCTAACCACCCTAGTTAAGTACCAATCCTTTGAAAATCGGTATTGGTAATCTGTTATTAGGAAATGGTCGCCACCAAACTGCTGTGATATTTTGCATTTTGCGTGGGGCCATCTATGAGGACCTTATTGAAGAAAGCCGCCCCTTCCCTACAGTTCTTTTCGTGCGTTTTTGTGCTACTTTCAACCTCTGACTGAATTTTGAGTTGCCCCTCTTGATTCCTCTGACTACCATGCTCCATTTTAAAACAAATATATGTGTTTTTATTCTGACGCTAAACGATATTTTTGGAATGAAGGTACTCACCACGAATCCTTTGGGGTTGTAATTGATAACCCAGTATTTCGCTCACTATTGCGATATGCGAATTCTATATGGCAGCTGCCGGCAGTCCACATCAGGTGAATGGCTACGGGTGCTATTTTCCGCCCATTTACTGCAGGCTGCTGTAAGAGGAGGAAATGTGGTGGGTACATTCGATAGAAAACACTTGGCCGAATAATACGCCGTTTGTCATTTTTGGTATTTCATGGAGGCCAAAAGCCGATAAGCTTCTTATCCCACTGCCAACACTCAGTCGCAATGTCTGGACTACTTTTCCTCGTTCAACTAGAATATCCGATGCAGATCTAAGCCAAATGACTCTATCGTTTACATGTTGTTTCTAGTACTTTCCTTAAACTGTGATGAGAGTGTTAAGGTCTTTTTAGTGACTTGCCTTTAAAATTCAGACCAGAAAGAAACAAAAACTGCACTCAGCTTGGAAGCTTCAGCTGCAGCCAACGGGTTCTGGTGAGGCTACCATTTGTGCGGCGCATTTACCAATCAACCACGCGCAATAAATCTGACGGAAATTCTTCTGTGCGCCGCGTGGAAGACCCTATCTGGATATTCCCCCTTCCACCAAGCTTAAGGCTTAAAATGAACAAGGGCAACAAAAAGTGGTCGATCATGTAACTTATGGAGTGCTATCAAATGCGCCGTGCTTAAACCTCTGAGCTGCTACTTTCCACCTTTTTTAATGCACTTAGCTTACTCTGTCTTACTCTGTTTAATTATCCCGTGATGATCGTTTGTAGTCTAAAATACTGAGGCGAATTTTATAGACGTCAGCAGCCTTTCTCCATGAACATACTGAGTGCAATAAAGAAGAAGTATCACAGTGGACGGCAGCGTATATTAAAGCGAGCCACACCACATCAAATGACACCATCAGAACTACTTACCTGGAACTGTAGACAAATAATGAGTGAGGCGAATTGTTCACAACGCCCCCTGTGTCCTAATGTTTGTCACAGCGCAGGTGTGATAACATTTCTTGGTGGCAAAACATGAATGATGACAGTTTAGTACCTTTAAGAGGTTTCACAACGCTTCACCAGGGTCAGTATAGTTCTACAAAGGAGGGTGGTGAAAGTGTAGCTACCTTCCTAAACACTCAGTGGTGCTCATCAAATTTGCATGTGTCTCATCTACCTTAATGACGACATAGATTACATCACCCCAAAAATTTAGATAAATATAGACTCATTTACATCACCAAAGTTCACGTAACCCTTGGTTGGAGCTATTCTCTATCATTTAGATTCACTAACAAACCCACAAAAGTTGCTACTGCCACAATATGTGGTATACCTCCCATCATTTGCGGTGGTTTTAGCTCTTTTAATCGCAGCTTTCTGTGTTTACCCGGCCATGACGACCCAGTTGGCTCTCCAACCCATTTTGACTCTAGGCTTGATCCTCATCAATGAACCAGATAAGTAGGAAACTCGAAAACGTGCCTCACGACCTAACTTATATCACTGTGGCACAGGTGTTTTGAAAAAAGCAAAGCTGTAGAAGAGCAATTTCCCAGACCAATGTAAGAAGACTGTATACAAGAGCTTTACATTTGACAATCTACATGAACTCAGGTGCATGCTACAAAACGTGGAATGGGAAATATGCAGAAATGATGCTCTGGATTACGTAAGTAATGCTGTTACATGCCATTCTAAATCTTTACAGGCTTAACAAAGCTCTGGACTACAAAGCATGCTAAGTATTCTATTTGGTGAATAAGTTGACGTTCTGTCATCTACGCGCGTTTGTAATGCGTTCCCTACCAGTGAGAAGTACCGGCCACCTGGAAGAAAATTAAAATGGTGCCGGCACCCAAGTTCGCATCTTCTGGAGCAAAAGTGAACTTCTGACTGATAGCAGTGATTTAAGCATTTTTTAAAACAATCAAAAATCTGTTGCTTATTGGGCTCGAAACCCCTTTGGGGCTTTCAGATGATCAAATCAACTCGCCCACGAACTCACATGCGGCAGCTTAGGCTCTGCAGTCGTTTTACATCATAATGTCGCCGTCGACTAAAACAAAGGTACTAAGTATGTTGGGTCTGCCCTCTTGGACCATATTTCTACTTTTGACTCTGTCCCCAAAACTTTTATTAGACAAGCTTCCCAGAACTCATATAGCGTTCTGGGTAGCAAAACGGGTCGATTCTTATTTTTCTGAGAGATGGCAGACTCTATACAGAGGGAAGCGCTCCACTTCAGTGCTCAGTGAAGTCAGTGTGTCTCAGGTTTCTTTTCTCTCTCTCCTTCTCTCTCATTTTTCATTTTGCATGAGTCATCAGCATCAACTAAAATATATGGCCAAACAGTATCCACGTTGATCACCTCCTTCTCGGACTGTTCTCGGTTTGGTAACTTCTCCTCCTTAAATGGCCCCACTCACAATCTCTCCAAATATTGGATGGTCAACGTTAGCTTAAGATGTGAAGGGGACATGTATAATTGTTTCGTTCCCGCGACTCCTGTCTTGTGAAAAATGTAATAAGCGTGACACACCTTCTGGTCTTTCTCGGCCTCTCTATACCTTACTGACGTCCAGAAAACGTTCAGTTTGACCTTCCATATAAGACAACTAAGGTTGTCTGGTATAACTTAGCCTCTGTTCTTGCTTTTCATTAATTATTGTGTTTTTTCTTCACTTGCTCATTTTTTCTTGCGTGGGGTCTTGAAGGCTGTCAGTATAGTAGGTGGTAGATCACTAACCGTGCTGACAAATGCGGTCGTGGATAAGAATCTGAAACATCACAGACAACTGGCTGAAAGTACTTCACCTGATGGCAAGCATCCCCTGCATCTGCAGTTTTCTCCATACCTATCTTCAGGGAAGACAAGAGGCAAATATGTTAAACTTCGTGCGTGCACAATGGCAAACAAAAACCAACCGTACCTTACTTAACTTGCGCATTGTGCGAATAAGATCGTACGAGAAACAGTCTTATCAATAAACTTTGCCA